TTGTAAAGGGATCAAAACATTGTTATTTTTCTTCTCCAGCTCACAAAACTGTTTCACCTTAAGAATTACTTCTCTGGCTGCACTTCTTATCACTTTACGCTCCATAATCAATCTCCTTCCAATAAAAAACAACTCAAATCTACAAACAACACTCGCAACGCACACACCTGACAAACGACAACATGGCGGAGCTGTCATATTTAGTTCGACGTTTTGCCGTCGGACTTGAGTAGTGGAGCGGACTCTACCTGTCATCTTTTATGATTGTGGGGAGCTTGGTATTGCAACACAAATTGTCACAAACGTCGATGGCAATGACTGACTGTCATTAGAAAGAGAATCTCTTTCAAGAAGAAAAAAAAATAGATTGTGCTTGATTGACATTGGTGTCAATTCTGGCGTGATTCTCTAAACTTAAAACTAAATTTAAGGTCAGTCTCACCTTTTTATTCTATATAGAGAAGGACAAGGATGCACTGTTGTCAAATTTAAGTTTAGCTTTAGAGAATCATGCCAGAATCGACATCATTGATAGTTTTTGGCGGGATTTCATCGAGTGCGGTTGGCGTCTTATTTTAATTATTCTTAAATTCGTTCATAGTGCATATTATGAAATAAAATTGGTGTAATTTTGTGTTACAATCGTCTGCGTTACTGAAGAATTAGTAGAATCTTTATAATATCTGTTCCGGTCAAGTGGACGTGAGAACTATATTGTAGTGTTGACTACCTCACAGAAGCTTATCGAAAAATCCAACTTGATGCATTTCGTGCCAAATACCCCAAGAAACATTAGAATGTGTCACATCGAGATTCTAATGTAAAAAGAAAAAGAAGATTAATATAAGTAAAGACTAGACTGTATGGGCATTATTCCCTTTGCATTCCTTAAAACGGGAGAATATTAAAAAAAAATTGACATTGACAGTCAAGTCACCATCGCGCGTTAAAATAGTAAGTGGATGGCACAGAGTACTGGATGGAAGAGGGAGAAAATAAATAAAATATTATTTGAAGAAATACACAATAGTTGTAGAAATGTTCAACTACTTTAATATTTTGAAAAATTTGTAGAGTTAGTTAAATAAGTCGGTACTGCTAAACAAAAGGGACCTAGTATCTGCCGTATTGTTAAAAGAGATTGTTCTTTTAACTGGTCTATGATGTATATCACTAATATTTTTGTTTTGCTTTTTACTGTTCTGTCTCAGACAATTTCTGAATACAGTTCTTGTTCTGAGAATGAAAATTGTTCCGGAAACACATATAATAAATATAGTAAAGGTATTTGTTAATACACCAACTTAATATTGTTGAACAACACACATTTGCCTGTAAATGCATTTTAACTGAACCAAATGTTTTTTTAGAAATTAATGTTTTAACGTCCAAATTAAAACAAGAATTACAAGAAGCAGTACAGAAATACAGCCCATGTGACAATAAAAACTGCAACTGCCACAGTAATGTTATCAATATAGACTTGGAACCATTTGCAGATGGCATTACAAAAGAACAATTTTCTATAGCTAGAGCAAAAGGAACAAAGTATCAGGTAAGAAAACAACATATATAGGTACTATATAGAATATACATTGATGCAGTAAGAAATTTAGGTGTGTATGTGGAAGCTACTTGACCTATTTTTGGAGAAAAATGTTTAAGCTTTATATAAGACATCTTTGTTTCTTTAAATGATATGCAAATATTAAATATATATAACTGACGAAATTCTTTCTGGATTTGCTGCAAGATGTGTGTTTCACCTAAATCAAAACCTTATTTTTTTATTCTAGATAATAGGAGGCAAATTATACCGGGAGAAAGATTGCCACTTTCCAGCAAGGTGTGCTGGTGTAGAACATTATTTGTCTGCTTTAGCTCCAAAATTGCCTGACTTTGAGATATCTGTAAACACAAGAGACTGGCCACAAGTCAATCGTGTGTGGGGGCATCCAAAAGCACCAGTGCTGTCTTTTAGTAAGGTTATACTACTGTATACTGTAATACTTTACATTCACATCATATATTTATTTGTCCGAGTTGGATTGTCTATTCCATCAAAATATTTTAATGGTGGGGTTGGTAAAGCATTGCAGTGTGACCACAACACAAAGAAAAAACATAAAAATTGAAATAAAATGAAATTTAAATATTTCATTTAAAAACATTAGTCATAAGACCTGTCCCTTGCAATCATACATGGATTATTCTAACTGCAACCATGGAGCCCTAGAAGTTTTGGATAGTTAACACCACCAAAAGATAGTGTTGCTAAAATGTGTATTTCAATGTAGTTTCCTATAAGGTCACTACTTCCCTAGAGGGATGCTGCAATTCAAGCAGAACATTACATTTACCCTCTGAGCCCTATCAGCTTCTCTAAAAAGCATAATATCACTCATTTCACTAAGTTTTTGATTATATTTTCTCCAAGATTGCTTTTCATTTTACAGACAAAAGACTATTATGACATTATGTATCCCACTTGGAGTTTCTGGGAAGGTGGACCAGCTATATCACTGTATCCAACTGGTATTGGAAGGTGGGATAAGCACAGACTATCCATCACTTCAGCTGCAGAAAAGTGAGTATTTATTTAGACATTATCAACATTTACCTTGAAATCGCTAAACTCCAGTTCATCAGTATGTCAAAAAAAGTTATACACATTTTGAATAAAATTGTTCGTTTTGTTCAACCTTTTCATTCTCATTGCTTTTTTACCTCCAATAAATGAATTTATAAATACTCAGGTCACCATGGGAGAAGAAAGTTAATAAAGCATTCTTCCGTGGCTCTAGAACCAGTGAAGAAAGAGATGCTCTTGTACTGTTATCTCGAAGCAATCCAGAATTAGTTGATGCACAGTACACAAAAAACCAAGCATGGAAGTCTGATGCGGTAATTATGATTCTTTCCATTGTCCAACTCCGTTAACTTTTGTTTTTTTTAATTAAACAGGAACCTGACGTTTATCCAGGATAAATAGTATCCTATGTCTCAATCCAGAATAAACTATATGCATACCAAATTTCAACCAAATCTTTAGTTAGCCATCTTTAGTTTAGTTTAGTGGTTAAAGCATGAAAGCGTAACAAACAAACACACTTTTATAATATGTTATATACAAATAAATACTAGCAGCTGCCTACTACTTCGTCCACGTAAACTTTAGTTTTTTGAGATTCCCTTAGGAACCTAACATTATTGGAGTTTACTCCTTAAGAATCGAGTTGCATTTATAAGGGGCCCGGTATGAGAAAAATGTGAGGAGTAAAATCTATCGATGAATGACCTCGTTACGTTTTTGGTGGGCATCCTATGTCGCGCAACTTTGACAAACAAAGATGATGGATTGACATTAATATTTTTTTTTAAATCTGAACTGAATTTAGATATTGATTCTGATAGAGCAATGGGGACAACGAGGTATGGTACAACCATTGATGCGGTATTTTCAAGATTCGTGAACCACGTATCTACGAACGTCCATGTGTCTTATTTTAGTTACCATAAACCACTTGTCACTGTAATTAATAATGCAGACAATGTTGATTTAATTAATATTTAAAAAAATGATAATATTCTGATAATAATAATTACATAATTTATCAACATTCCTAATGATATATTTCTGCACATCTGAAATTGACTATTGTAAAAAGTTTAATGTAAAATATTTCGTCGATTAGTTATAATAAATGTATATGAAATGAATAAATATATATTTATAAATGTATATGAAATGAATAAATATATATTTATATATGTATATTATTTTCATTAATTTGTTAATTTACCCTTTCATACAGTATCAATCTTTTTAAGTTAAATAAACTCTTTTTGCGTCTGGTTAGACTATCGAACTTAAGGAGTAAACTTCAGTCGTGCGTCGGAGCTGACACACACAATTTTTTTCGGGATGAAAGTATCCTGTCTCAATCCAGGTAATAAACTATATAGTTATTAAGTGGATTGAGTGAGACAGGATATGAGCCGTTTTTGCGTGAAGCATAGAACTACCATGCAATTTTTACATATTTGTAGGATTAAATGCAGGTATAATAAACATCCTTTTCTGTTAATTATATTGATCTTTATGCAATTTGTTTCTAGGACACTCTTTATGCAACTCCAGCTCCAGAAGTGTCATTTGAGGATCACTGCAAGTACAAATATTTGTTCAATTATAGAGGAGTAGCAGCTAGTTTCCGCTTCAAACACTTGTTCCTCTGCAGATCGTTAGTATTCCATGTTGGGGATAAATGGTTAGAGTTCTTTTATCCATCTCTAAAACCTTGGGTGCACTATGTCCCTATTTCTCCAGATGCCTCTCAAGACGAATTAAAAAGATACATAGAATATTTTAGAGAGAATGAGACATTAGCAAAAGAAATCGCTGATAGAGGATATCAGCACGTATGGGATAATTTAACTGATAAAGATGTAAAATGTTATTGGAGGAAACTGTTAAAAAAATATTCTAAATTAGTCAAGTATGAAGTCCAAAAAGACGAAGATCTTATAGAAATAGTGTGATTACTTAATTAATTTATCGTTTAAGCGTTCTTTTACTACTTTTACAAGAAAAATAAAATAAGTATTTTAGATTTAAATTATTTTTATTTACATAAAATCCAGACACAGATAACAAAAAGGAATACATGTTATTTCACATATTATTTTACTTATTAAAGAATTTTATAGACACTTAAAGCTGATGATTTCTAATTCTAATAATGTGTTGCACAGTAATGAGTTTTAAGATTGTAATAAGTATTGATGACGATAAAAACTCAACAAAACGGATAAGAAATATAAAAAAAAATAACAATAAAAGCATTCAATACTTTTTTTAAATTCCATTTATTATGAGATCGCAATATTAGAAGTGATTTAAGAAAACAGTTTTGATACACTTGTTTTAAATAATGGGAACATTATGGGAGTGGACAAATTCCCTATTCTAGCGATTCATTATAATAATAAAAAAAAACTTGCTCCAAACTCGGGGTGCTACCGCGTCACTATTACAGCTACAATATGATGTTATTCGCCTCCTTGCTGGCTCTACAAAAGTGTTTAGTTAAAATCACGATCAGGGAAGACAGCTGGAGCGACCAGAGTCCATATGTACAGCCCGATGCAGAGCCACGACGATGTAATCTTAATCCACATAGATGCAGCGTTCTGCTTCGACAATTCGGAGCTCGGGCTGTAATAAAATCAAAATGTATTATTTCTTGAGAAACTCGTTGTCGCTATAGTTAATTTTTGTATTAAGTTTGGCCTGCGATTCTTTTACCAACGTTCGCAATACAATTTTTCAAATTTCTTCTGAACGCACGTAAAGCCGTTGGTCCCGGCTGCATCTGCAGTTCTTAGCACCCATCACACCCATGGCCAGCCAACTGGCCCGCGTGGTGCATCATGGCAAGGGTTGCCAACCCTACTATATAATATAGTATCCTACTAAATTAGGAGATCAAATACTATATTTCTAAAAAAATAACTATATAAAAAAACGTCTAAATTTTGCTTAAAGTAGACCTTGCCAGTAAAAGCTTTCTTAAAATAAAAACTGAAGTATTAGGGTATAGAGTAGCAAAAATATACTAATTATAAAAATAAAGTAAATATTTTAGACATCTTTTTGGCATATACATATTATAGTTTTAAGGGTAACAGCTTTGAAAATACTGTATTTGATAGAAAAAAGGTGGTAACCCTAATCATGGCCCCTTCTCCCTATTCCTTCCTAAATCCTATGTGCCACAACGCGAATGTTAAAGGTACAATTCCGCAATGGGCTGCAGGCGACACTGTGCATTATATGCATTGTGGAGCCGCGGCATGTCGCCACGCTCGGAATCAATTTCATAGAGATTCATAGAAGCTAGTCGTGTCGCCTGCAGTCTGCAGCTGCAGCCTGTGGTCTGCGGATCAGTACGGATTTGTACCTTTAATACGCGGATGGCAGTTAGCTGTCCTACCTATATGCCTAAACAAATATAATTCCGCGCGACTGCCATCCGCCGCGCATCGCGGCTCCTACGTTGTTCGTCTTTGTCCTATTAGTAGGAACATTATGTAGCGGAATTTAAGAACTAGATTCTGATTAATGTTTTTTTCTTACACAGTCTTCATAAATAAATATTATTAAAAATCGGTTGTTTTTTTTCTCAATCTAAGTAAAAAAGTTTTATTCAATAAAAACTTTTTTTTGTTCTCTCTACCTATTTGGTTTGAATGGACAGCTATGACGTCTCAATATGGCGCTCAGTCGGCCCAATTCTTAGTTGAATCGCATTATACTTGGGACTCAGATGGCAAGAAAGTTTGTTACTCACTTGTACCAGTTGGTGAGTGTCATCATGATGTACAAGGTGGCGAGCGCGAACACGATGTGGAAGAAGGTCCAGGAGTACGCCACGCCGTCGGCCTCGTTGTCGTACACCTTCGCCTCGTCCGCGCCGCGCGCCGCCTCGCCGCCGTCGCCGCCCTCTATGGAACCATACCCTGCGCTCAGTGGAGCGTCACAAGACAACGCGCGTTAGCGGATACTCGTGTACTCATAGAGGTATAACAATAGTGTCGGGGAGATATAGACTCTACTACAAGTGGAAGTGTCCCTCTAATAGAAAGAGAAAGAGGATGAGAGACCGCTAGCTTTCTTTCTCTAATAGCGCATGCGCATTGGCAACCGTAAGCATATTACTATTTCGATGTGATGCCATTGGATGCCATGCGTCACAAGAGTGAAACATAGCTAGCGGTCTCTCGTCTTCTTTCTCTTTCTACTAGACGGACACTTTTAGAGCCGCCTTCCCCACTCTATTCTTATACCTCTATGCGTGGACAGCGGCCCAAGCACAAGTTTTTGGCAGCTCCGTAACGTATCGCTACGTCAAAGTTTCAATGGAAACTAAGCAGCGCCCCTATCGGACGCAAGGATAAACTAGCTTTTTCCATACAAAATTTGACTATCACGATACTTTAAGGAGCTGTCAAACACTTGTGCTTGGGTCTCAGTGCGATTCAAAGTTACTGGTGGCTGTGAAGTTAGCGCAAGTCGCAGCGCAGTATGCGAAATGTAGTGACGTAGGTAGGATCACGCGGGATGTCATTGAAATGAAACCTGCGCATAGTTACGCTCGCTGCTAACTTCACAATCACCATAGAATCGCCGCTTCGCCTTTGCGCCGTCGCCGCCCTCTATGGGACCATACCCTGCGCTCAGTGGAGCGTCACCAAGACAACACGCGTTAGAGGATACTACTCTACAGTGATCGTTGGCGTCAAGAAACTTTAGTACTATAATACGATTATTTGTGTTTTTTGTTTAATTTTAAATAAAAAACACTGCAGGTTTCGCAAACCACCTGAAGAGAGGCAAAATAGGAGAATAAGTGCTTTTTCTACTACTATTTCATAACCAGAGATTGAAGTCGGGCCCATGCAAATAATCGGTCACATACAAAGACGGATAGGCGCGAAACTTTTGTCGCGTTATTTTAGTTTCTTTTGTTATAAAAATCAGACTTAGTACAATGATCCAAGAATCTATTATGAACTGTTCTCTGGCAATGGACACTTGTTATACTTTCATTTTTTATGGCAAGTTACTTCATTGTTTACATTAATCCGGGGTATTACAGTCGTCACCTGTATGTAATAGGGGTGATGACGGGGTACAGTAAACGAAATTCTATTCAGTCCGTCAGTTAGATAATCAAAAAATAATGGACACGTATTTTTTCTTTGGGCAATCAACCAAAAAATGACAAAGTTATAGCGCGTTAAAGTTTGGGAGTAGGGGCTCGTGACGTCACTTTTGAGTAATTTTTCACTTATAAGAGTACTCAAACGTGACGTCATCTGACTTTTCAAATCAATATATCTCTGCAATGTTTATATTATGTGAAAAAAGTAAAAATACGTGTCCAATACTTTTTGATAATCTACCTGATAAACGAAGAAAAAAAAATTAGTCATCATCCCTATTTATCTATCCGTCAATAGTTTTCTACTAACCGAGGAAGTTAGCTCTGTTTTTTCTAGTCCAACTAATGCTGGTGATTACTGATATGAATGAATACAGATTATTTGTAGGATGCTAAGCGTTTTTTGCACAATATAAAAAAATTGAGGTCATTTTCAACTTGATTTTTAACTATATGAAGGCCACCAAAATATTATATGAGTTAGCATTTTTAGGTACTTTTTTTTATTTGTTAGATATTGTTTTAAATTTATTTTAATAAATAAATTTAAAACCCGGAAACATTATATTTTATAAATAGGAAATGTACTTATAGCAGCAGACGGGACTCGAACCCGCACCCTCTGCTATCTGAGCGGATGCAGTGACCATTATGCTACCGCAGCCCTAATAGCGGTGTCGATTTTTTTCTGGTATTTCTTAGGCTGCAAGGCAGCGCCATCTTTTTGCGTTGTAGGTAAACCACAATGTCAAACGAATACATTTAAGTATTAAACATTTGAACGAAGAATAAGCAATTGTTGTATATTTTTATTATATAAGCATGTACCTGCAGATGTTTAAAGAAAAATGTATTAGAAATGTGTTAATAAAGAAACATCCTTACGAAATTTAACACAAGTATCTAAAAACTCACATAGACTGAAAAATGTTAATAATAGATTACAAGAAGGTTACAAAGATAGGAGTACCAGTGATATGAATAAATAAACTCTTTGTTTGAAGTCAGTTAACAATATCATTACCATCTCCTTCTTTAGCTAATAAACAAAAAATATACAGTTAATGTCTAGATGAAAATATGTTGTGGAGTCTTTTATTTATAACAACAGTTACTAAACTTTAATAGTGACAGTTTGAATATTTAGGTGACTATATCTAATCTTGGGTAACTATTGGATCCTATAGTGTCAATTTAAGCATGATAAACTTTAAGAACAAACTATAATCACACTAATATTATAAAGGGGAAAGTTTGTGAGTATGTGAGTGTGTATGTTTGTTACTTCTTCACGTCTAAATGGCTGAAACGATTTTAATAAAATTTGTTATGGAGTTAGCTGACACCCTAGATTAACACATAGGCTACTTTTATCCGGAAAAAATGATAGGTTCCAGAGGGATTTTCAAGAAACTAAGTTAACGCAGACGAAGTCGCGGGCGACCTCTAGTCTTATATATAAAAATCAATTGCTGTTCGTTAGTCTCGCTAAAACTCGAGAACGGCTGAACGGATTTATCTTATCTTGAAATGTTCGTGGAGGTATAGGGAAGGTTTAAAAGGTGAGAAAAATTCGAATAATTGCCGGGAAAATCCTAAAAACAGCCCTTTTCGTTTTCTAAGTAAATTGCAGTCAATTTGAACTTTATTGCCTTTGAACAAAAACTATAGTCTACACTACAGCTCTACACCTAAGCGAAGCGAGGGCGGGCCACTAGTTAACAATAAGGAAGGGGAAACAAGTTTTGATTATTATTGTAAGCCATACCTTTAGTTTTAGTTATTAGTTACAATGGATTTTCGATTTTGTAAGTTTGGTTAGCGAAGTCGAAATGGAGTGGGGGCGTAGCGTTAAGTAATTATAGTGTTACCTTCATTAGCAATGAGCCCTCCTTGGCCTAACCCGCGTCGCCACCGCGCGAACGCCGCCGCAAGGAATAACATACGTGTTAGTGTACATATTTAGGCTTTGTCAAACAGAACGCGTACTTAGCGCGCGTCAGGCGCTAACTTGACGCCGCGCTATAACGCTAAGATGTGTTGCACTACCACGATAAAGGCTTCGGCAAACAGAACGCGTTCTAGCGCGCGTCAGAGCGCTAGTTGACGCCGCGCTAAGAAGCTTTGGCAAATGGTACGTTACGTTAAGGAGCGTAGGGCTTATCTAAACAATTTGTGTGACTTGAAAAGAGCGCGACGTTAAAACGCTACGCTATAACGCTAATACGCAGCGCTAAGTACGCGTTCTGTTTGACAAAGCCTTTAAACGAAAGATAAATAAAGAAATGCTAAAGATTAAACTAAAAACATGTTCTTTTTACTCTAAATAAGCTTAATTTTAGTTTATTAAAACGAAACGTTAAAGTAATAAGTCCGTAGTGTAAGTTAATAGTATTAAAAAGTAGGAACTTTTTCTGCGTATGTTTGAATGGTTTCGAAAAGATATCATACATTTAAAAAACCATAAACATAGAGAATGGACTGAGCAGTCTCTATACGACGGAGCATGATTTTGATATTGGCAAGCTAAATAAGCTATTTGACAGTATGAAAAATAAACTACTCGTTATTGGCATATTTATTTAACATGAATATTGGGAGCGATTTCACTATTCGGACAAAAAAAGTATGTAATTGATAATATTACCAAAAATCATGAAATCACGTGAGCGAAATCGCCTAGTGTTGGCGGAGCCTAAAATGACGTCACCTACTTGTAAACAAGCTCGAATTGTCTTGACTGACTTGTCGAATTTACTTTGTACTGTTTGACGTATTAGTGAGGGGCGTGTGACGTCATCTGCTTGTAAGGCGCCATATTTGCTAGAGAAACGTTTCCGCGGCATATTTGAAAGCTGATTTTTTATTTCAATTATTTTACTGATATACGCAAAAGAATTTTGAATATCCATTTCGGGTCACTAAAGACTAATAAATAACGTATCAAAGTTTAAAAAAAATGTCGATTAGCCTATTGTCAAGGTACTATAGCGTTTGACAGTTAAAAGTGATAAAATATATATCATATCACGGTGCTAGTGTTACGGGGGCATTGGAAATAAGCGATCGGGCGACCCATAGTTCGTACAGGAGTTCGCCGTTTCTAAAATGTTTTCAGTTTAAAGCGAGTTTCGCTAATCCTTTCTCTATGTTTACGAACAAAACCTCTTTTCTTACGCCACGTTTAGTCTATAGTAAAACTTGACTATAGTTAATGTCACGTCAAATACGTAGTAAATGTGGTTTTTTTTTATAAATGGTTATATTTTCTCTAATCATAATCAAAATGATTTATTCAGTTTAAGCTATTACAAGCACTCATGAGTGTCTAGAAGCTACGCAATCGGTTCGTGAATCTACGGCGGGAGACCTTGTACTGAGAAGAACCGGCAAGAAATTCAGCAAGGGCTGTTTTTTTCTCCCTGTATTATTATTTACAGAGTCGTCAAGTTGAAAAATGACTTCAGAGATGATTTATGAAGTCACCTTTCATTACATAATGTGAGATTTTACATTAATTGTTCAACTGCATTTTGTTTGCTGTTTCATTCAGTATAAATACAAATGGTGTTATTTATATTAGTATTTTAACTAGTCAAATTTAACTTATCAATGAAACAACGCGGCCTTAAGACTTGTCATATAAAAGTAACTGTATATTCACCTGCACTACCCTCCTTGGCGAGTATGTGATCGGACATTGTGAGCTTAGAGGACGAGGAGGCGGTGCGCATGCTCGAGTACAGCACGCTGCACACCCAGATGGCCAGCCCGACCATCGACTGTTTGTCGAAGGAACTCTGCGAATATAACGCGTTTATAAACAAACAATCCCACAGGACCCTGTAATCTTACCGGGGTAAAAAGTATATGTTTCAATCAGGTCATAAACTATATGCGTACCAAATATAGTCTAAATTGGTTCGGTAGTTTTTGCGTGATTGAGATTGATAAACACATAACCGCCACGTCGGGCGGGCGAGTTGGGTGGTTCGGTAGCACTCGGTACTCAGAGCTGTGTATCCGCTAGGTAAAGAATCTGTACCGTAACTGCTCAGAAACATGGAGGTTAGAGAGAAGGAGAACGATCGCCGTAGAAAATAGTGTCCCAGAAATATGGACCAAATAAGTGAGGCGCTGCGATAGCTAAGTTGTCTCAATAAAAGCGGGCTAATTTGAAATGACCAATGCCGCGAAAAAAATTTGTACATTGTTCAACTAACTTCATGTACTCATAAACAGCTAACTTCACAGATACTACTTACCGACGGCAGCGCGGCTGGTGGCTGAAAAATGAACTATAAATTTTCATGGTCAGGCGGGCTAATGCTTTAGTACGTAGCGATCGTTCTCCTTCTCTCTAACCTCCATGATCCAGGTCGTAAACTATATGCGTACCAAATATAGTCTAAATCGGTACGGTAATTTTTGCGTGATTGAGTAGGAAACATTCAACAGTTGGAAGCACTCGGTACAGAATCTGTACCGTAACTTCTCAGAAACGTACGTACTTTTCATTTATAGTTAGTTAAGATTATAGCAAAATTCGCAATGACCGGTCATTGGATGGGAGACCAAAACATTATTATCTCAAGTTTCTCCGTGCTTCAGAAGTCACGTTAAGCCGTTGGTCCTGGATGATCTGCAGTTGTTCTTCTATATGTGGGGAAATTAATAAGCTGTTGATGATGATGATAAAACAATCTCTATAAAATCTATGGGTGACTTGTTTTATAATGGAAAACTGTAAATCCGGCTATTCCCATGAAAATTCCTTTATGTTTTCATTCCCTGCAGAACACGGTAAATATATACTCTTATATTTTTTAAGCATGTCACTGCTAGATGTGTGATCTAAAGAAAATTTTGCTAGAAAAAATATATAACTACATTTCTTGTTTTTAAAATATTAACATTTCCAGGGCGCAATTACTTTCAAACAACCTTAAATAGGCTGATGATGATGATGATGAAACTTAAATAAATAAAAACAAAAATCTAGCTGCGGCTATTCGTATTCGATATTTGTTAATTTGACAAGAGTATATCTAGTCAAATTAACAAAATCAAATACGAATAGCCATGTGCAGTACTAACTAGCTTAAAGCGCAGCCCACATTGGTAACGCGAAACGTAAAAATAAAGTTTCGCTTCGCTTCGTTAGTAAGGTAAAAAGATTTATTCTTGCTATTGTAAGTTAATGTAGAATATTTGCAAATTCTATTTTCCTTTTTTTTTTTGTATTGATCGTTCTACTGAAAAACGATAAAATGCACAACTTCGAACGCCTCAATCTCCCAATAATGTTCAATAAATTAGATCAAATTAATTACTACGACATCAGAAATATGTTTTTGTTGTAACATAATGTATTAGAATTTTGATTTTCCATCTTATTAATTACCAAAAAAAACATCTAACCTCCATGAGCTTTCCCAAAAAATAATGCAGGTTTACCTCGTATTTTGATATTGAATTAAATAGAATTACTATCAAAAACTTTCATAAAACTAATTTAATATCATTGAACTACTGAAATTAATAATAAAATATTAGTTCATTAATAATTATTTTATAAGACTCGAAACATCACATACGCGCTGATCAGTACGGCAGCAGCACACTTTTGTAAAAGGGCTCTTAACGAAAAAGCAAATATACTGACAAACTGAAACCTTATTTTTGAAGGCGGTTAAAAACGAGTTATTTATTACAGACTTTTCGGTCATTGTCTGGAGTAATGGTGACAAAACCCGTAACCACGAACTAGTATTGTTCCCCTTAGACCTGTGTCTCACGTTATACAGTTTTACATGCCTATCTTTTTAAGATATCGTGTGATAAAGTAAGACCGTTAGTGGCCAGCTTCAATTATCACACTCCAGAATAAGGTGAGGAGCTGGCGAACAAAACGGTATAATTACGCATCTGCGGACAAACTACATTTTTTTACAGTCCGGAGGTTTCGGGCTCATTGAATTTGTATCTCAAATAATTTTCAATCAAAATCGCCTTAAACAGTGTTAAAATTACTAAATTTATAAATTAAAACCTGTAAAATTTAATTTTATGTAATTATACCGTTTTGTTCGCCAGCTCCTCAGGAAAGGTTATTATTATGGTTTCGTTTCTTTTCTTGGAACAGTTTCAAGTTTAATCTAAATAATAAAAATATCTAGACAACTAAGCTCTACTAGGCCTATCTGTTATTGGAGGTTGATTATGTGAATATGAAAAGTTGCAAACAATGTGGCTTGCTGTTTACATCTTCGCGGCTATTAAAATGTAAGAAAAAGCGAATCGTTGCAAATGAAGATCGAATATAAGGTTTAAAAACGTCTACAACTCGGGTGGATGAAGTTTAATAAAACCATGCGTTTCTGGATTTACTAGATCTTTGGTTGGATAGTGTTTAATTCAATACATGGGGTTCTAGGGAATGATAATAGTGTTACAGGGTAGATGAAAATATAGGTATATTTTATTTTTTAAATTATACATTGCTGATTATTCAAAACATTCAAAGCACTGCAAGTAGTGCCCTACAGGCAATGCCCCTTTAGAACGGAGAATCGTTTTGAAAATTTAAAAACTACAAAAATGACAAAACCAAAGCATATACCAAATGTAAGTATGTATATCAAACAGTCAATAAACAAGGAGGTAGTACTAATTACAACGAAGATTGAATGTAACAATGTGTCCAGAATGAGTAGGTAGTGATAGTGCGAATAACTCATTTATTAAAGATTGATATTTAACCTCGTGTTTTTGACAAGTACAATGTTGGCAAGTTTTTATAACAATAAGTCTAAAGATAAAAATATCACTAGTTTTAATGTAATATTTAATGCATGTTATGCATGCATGCATGTATTAAGTAATATCGTTTTTTACCATACGCAGACTATTTTGTCATACAAGTATAATTGTAATAACCGGCAGGCAACATTTTATTTTTAAAATCAGTTATTATTTTAGTATAATTACTAAAACTCTTTATGTACTTTTTCATTATCATTTTTTTAATTGAATGTATATTTGTTTAAAGTAATGATCGAAAAAGCTTGTCATAAAGTATTACGAGGTTAAAAATCCAACTAAGTAAAAGTACTATCCCACGAATGTGAGTACATACCCAATAAGTCGCTTTTGTATCCTGGTAGATAATGCGTTTTCAAACAAACACAATACATAAGAATAATGACAAATAGAAGCATATAACAAATATTATTTACAATAATACAAAATATATTATTACAACCAAACGTTTTATACATAAATTTACTTTGCAATAAAAATATCAATTTTAATTGTTAATGCGTAGTCATATTTAAAAATATAAATCATTGGATTAGTTACACAAAAGCTACGTTTAAGTTTGACAAATATTTAACTATTTCTACGTTGTGGTCCTAACTAACGTCATTTAATAACAAGATCAATTACCTTGACCTTAAAATCAATTTTACGCGAGTCTCATAGTCAGATTCATTGCTTTATCTATAAGTAATATCGGATTTGTGCCCTCTTTAAAAGATACTTTGCTCCGCACTAAGTAATAGTTACCAGAGTGCCGCCAGAGACTGCTTTGCATTCGGCGGACCCATTGGACAGCGCGGACCAGGTGAGGTAGAGGACGTACAGAGACTTGATGAACTGCAGTAAGCGCGAATTAGTTACCTGAGAGCCGCCAGAGATGGAGTTGCATTCGGCGGCACCGTTAGACAGCGCCGACCAAGTGAGGTAGAGGACGTACAGAGACACGATGGACTGCAATAAACGCGAATTAGTTACCTGAGAGCCGCCAGAGATGGCGTTGCATTCGGCGGCCCCGTTGGACAGGGCCGACCAGGTGAGGTAGAATACGTAGAGCGACACGACGGACGACTGCAGCAAGCCCGAGCGTGGCTGATGCTCCTGCACTGAGGGTAAGATCGATACCGCGCTCGCGATCACCACCAGGATCAGATTTATGGAGATGAAGAACTTGGATAGGTCACACCCGCTCGACTGTAACAATAGTTAAATATTCTGAAATTTAATCATTTTCAAACTATGTATGTTAATCTGGTGTTCTTATATATGTCGCCGCATACGTTATTACCATAGTTGATTAAGGCAAAATAGCGATTAATAATTATGATACTGTCTATTCTAAAATTAAGAGGAAATAATGTTTGCATTTTCATTTGAATTATTTACTGTAATCGATGGTTTAGACCATCGGTTTAAGTACTTTTATTGTAAAAGTCATGTGACTGACATTATGACACGAAAGTTGATTGACACTTATTATTAAGCTAAAGTTTTGTATTGATTAATTCATTTAATTTATTTTGTTAATTTAAAGTTGAAAATCTGTAGCTATTTGTTACTAAATTTAGTTAGATTATAATTAGGAGACTTATTTGTCTGTTAACGATATCGCGTGATCGGAACGGCGCAACGCCATTGGTCCACGCTCCAAGTGGTCGTGGAGTAGGGGCGGTGCGATCGTTCGATGGCGGGGCACAGGCTCGGGCACTGTGTGTCTGATTCTTGAACTGAACGGTAGTGAGCAAATGCTCTGCCCCTTTGTTCATCTTTACCTTTTAAAAAATATTATTGAATTTAGTTAAGATAAGTGATTGTTTAAAGTGATTTGTGAGTGAAGTGAATTGTTAAAAATAAAACAAGGTTACTGTAATCGTTAAAAGTGATTTATTCAAAAATAGTGTTGCACATTTAATTACTTTTTATTCTTTAATCAAACTCCTCCATGGACGAGCCAGGCATAACCGCTGGCCATGCCAGCGATATCGAGTCTGGACATTTAAATTATAATAATAATACTCTTGAATTTTCGACATCAGAAGTGGGATCGATACAACGATCCCGTTCTGCTGGTCCTTTTGTTTCAGGTCCTGACGTTATCTACGCTGATAACGAGGCGCCTTTGACCACGCCCTACTCACACGTGCAGACGTCTACGACAGCGAGCGTCACTCCGACAACGGTGCCATCAATGCTACAATCTGGTATCGTTCCACCTGAGTTTTTCATTAATATGATGAACATGATGCAGACCATGAGCGAGCGACTATTGGAACAATCAGGTAACAAGCTTAAGATTACTGATATCTTCTTGCCCTCATACGACCCAGATGGCAACGTGGGTGTACGTGAATGGTGTGAACATATTACTACGGCTAAAAACACTTATAAACTCAGTGATTATGATATTCGCATGAAAGTGACTAGTTTGTTGAAGGGTCGAGCCAAAATATGGGCCGATAACTGGTTAGTCACAACATCTTCTTGGGAGGAACTTCGACAAAATATTATCACTACCTTTGAACCCGAAAGTCGTTATTCACGTGACGTTCTTAGATTCAGAGAACATGTCTATGAGCCTTCTAAGGACATTGCAGAGTTTTTGTCGCGTGCATGGCTTTTATGGCGGCGAGTGACTAAGGACAAACTTGATAACAGTGACGCCGTTGAGGCAGTCATTGGAATGATAAACGATGAGCGTCTTAGAATCGAACTAATGAATGTTAGAGCTACATCGGTGCCGGAATTGATTTCGGTTGCCTCATCCATTCGCGCCAAACGACCAAATACGTCTCAAAGTTCTTTTTCTAACCCGCCGCCCCAAAAGCGTGCTCGATTTTCAGTAGATAATAGAAACATTTCCTATTGCACTTTTTGTAAACGAAACGGTCATGATTTTAATAATTGTCGTAACAAAGTAAGTTTTAGTGCCCGGCCTAAGGAGAACAATCAAAACACCGCGCCACCGCCGCTAGTGACGTCCTCTAAATCGCACGATAAGTTTTGCTCATTTTGTTCTAAACCCGGCCACACATTCGATTCATGTTTTCGCCGTGAAAAACAAATAAACGCAAACGTGAATTCTGTAAGTAATAATAAGTCTAGTCTTAATACAATGCGTATACGTGTGGGTAGCATAGAAATTGATACCGTGTTTGATAGTGGTGCTGAATGTTCTGTTATGCGTGAATCAATTGCAAATAAACTACCCGGGCGTAGGCAACAAATAGTTAATTATTTACGTGGTCTAGGTCCGTTTGCAGTTATATCTACCAGCACTTTAACTACTATCTGCACAATTGATAACATTAACGTCGAAATATTATTTCACGTCCTACCCGACCTCGAGATGACTTCTAATGTACTTATTGGTTCAAACATATTGCACGAAACCGGTCTGAGTGTTATAGTTACTCAAAATAGTGCAACTTTAATTTCCCAGCCACGTATAATGCATACGCGATTAAACAATTCTATTTTCGAGAATGTCAATCATGATTTAACCAATGAATTTGAGATTGAACAGCAATTAGCTTTTTTGGGCGGTAGGTGTAAAACAAGTCATTACTTCTCTAAAAATTATTTATTAAAATATTTGGTAAAATCAGTTTTTTTCTGGTAAACTGTGTGTTTAATTACATCTTGGCATCTAATTAAGCAACATATATTGTGGATAGCATCTATTGATGTGTGTTTGATTTGAAAACTGCACCAACCTGCCATCTTCTACTATCGCTGCTTAAGAGAACACTATTAATCACATACACTGTCCATTATGAGTACGGTTTCAGCAGTAATGGAGACGCAGAAATCTATAGAAGCAACCTTGCTTGCTAGAATGAATGACTTTGAAGCACAGCTGAAGTCTGCATCGCCAACCAGTGACGGCAAGGAGGGGATTACTCAACTGCAGAGCGATTTTACTGCATTCAAGGAACAGGTGTGGAGCATTCTGTCACTATTGAGACAACAAATATCTCAGCTTCTCGGAACAGTTGACGACATTGTAATGAGACATCGCAGAAAATTTCTCATGATAGGTGGCATTCCGGAAAATGAGGATGAGGATTTAGCATCTGTCATTGCTACATTATTACAGAAACACCTCGGTCTCACTGAAATATCTGCTTCTTCCATTAAAGCTTGCTTCAGACTGGGATATGTATCAAATAGGCGTGCAAGGCCTGTCGTAGTCCGTTTTGTGGATTTGGATGTTCGTGCTGCGGTTTGGAAGTACAAGACTAAACTTAAAGGCACTTCCTTGGTCGTTTCGGAATACTTAACAAGAAGTCGCCAAGCTCTGTTTCAGGCCTCACGGGAACATTTTGGAGTAACAAAAGTGTGGACTGCAGGGGGTAACATCTACTTGAAAACCCCTGATGGGAGTCGTCATCAAGTGCGCACACTCGAGGAACTTCGATTATTAGCCGATCGCCATCCAAAGACCACTAGCGACCCCAAGTCATCTGCTGAGCCGGATAAAGATACCAAGGAAAGCACAAACATCACATCAAAGCTTGAGCTTGATCCGAGAGCAGCTCCTGTGAGGTCCAGACGCATGGTTCAAGCAACAAATAAGCCTGGTAAGGTAGCTAAAGCCACCAAATAGCTTTCTTGCTTTTCTGTTTCCCTTTTGTTGTTTTGTACTTGCAAATAGATTTGGTAGTGCATTGGACTCTGCTATGCCTTTGTAACAGCAATTTTCTAAATAATAATGGGGACATCGCAACTTTTATGTAGATATAAGTTGCTGCTGTTGTTATTTTGCTGCTTATTTTCATAATTCTGCTTGTTGTGCTTGGTATGCTATTAGAATGGTTTTTACTGCGAAGGTATTTGTAAACTCATAGCTATTAATGTAAACAAACAAGAAGTCGTATTTGTCAATGTCAAGACGTTGTGACATTTTTAGTTTTGTTTTAATTTTATTGAAATTGGAAGGCATGAGCTCCTCATTTCATACAGCCAAGTTTATACTTTTTTTTATTCATAGACTTAGTATGTAATATGTATAATTAATGTTTCGTTTCATTTTCATAATAATTTTGCAGCAATGTTTATGTACCTATTTTTATTGTTTGTTCATTTACAAGGCAAGACATGTGCCTTCCTGTTTCTGTGTTTGTATTGTTGCTCAATGTTTTTTTTTTCTCTCGTGATTTTGTTGTTAATAATTATTATTCTGCTTAAGCTTTTGTAATCTCATACTAGTTGCTTGGTAAGGTGTGCAGTTTTTATTATTGGTTATTCAATTTATTTATTTTTGTTATTAGGTAATATTTTGTACTTTATATTATTTATTATATATATTTAAGTATTTATGTCAGACACAGATGATTTTCATTCGCTGCATGATAGTAGCTCGTCGTTTCACTCCCTTGACTCCTCGTTAGATCTCTCATTGAAACAGGAGCTCACACGTGAAATTAACAGTTTTGCCAGTTGTTTCAGAGCATGTCACATTAATGCACAGAGCATACCATGTCATATTACTGACTTTCTCGATGCTTTCTCTACGGATACAGTGCACGCCGTGCTTGTATCTGAAACCTGGTTGAAGCCATGTTTGAACTCCTCCTTGTACTGTCCACCAGGTTTTCACTTATTCCGTAATGATCGCGTCGGTAAGGGTGGTGGTGGTGTGGCTATTTACTTGTCGAGCCGCATACCAGCGAAAGTTTTATATTCTTCTTCCTCTCGTCATGACTGCATGGAGCATCTGCTCCTGGAAGTTGATATTTGGGGTACTAAGATTATTCTCGGAGTCGTATACTGCCCTCCTTCCATTGATTACTTCTCTGACCTTGAGTCGTTAATTGATTCCATTGCTACTGATTATAGTCACCATGTTATTATGGGTGACTTCAATACTGACCTTTTAATAAATTCACCTTCTTCTCGAAAGCTTCGCTCTTTGATTACGTCGGCAAACTTTTCTTTTTTACACCTTAATCCTTCACATCATAATCTTAATACATCCGATTCGTGGATTGATCACATTATTGTCTCCTCCTCAGATCATGTCGTTAAATATGGTCAAATCCCTGCCCCATGCTTCTCCAGACATGATCTCATTTATATTGCTTATAATGTGAAGCCTCCAAAATCGAAGCCAAAAACTATTTCCATTCGTAACTTTGCGAGAATGGACACGGAAGAACTTAAGCGTGATGCGTGTTTACTTGATTGGTCTCCTA